CTCTCTCTCTCTCTCTCTCTCTCTCTCGCTCTCTCTCTCTCTCTTTCTCGCTCTCTCTCTCGCGCGCGCGCTTTCTCTTTATTCTCTCTCTCTTTCTTTCTCGCTCTAACTCCCTGTCTCTCTCCTTTTTTTTTCTCTCCCCGCCGCTCTCTCTCTCTCTCTCGCTCTCTCTCTCTCTCTTTCTCGCTCTCTCTCTCGCGCGCGCGCTTTCTCTTTATTCTCTCTCTCTTTCTTTCTCGCTCTAACTCCCTGTCTCTCTCCTTTTTTTTTCTCTCCCCGCCGCTCTCTCTCTCTCTCTCGCTCTCTCTCTCTCTCTTTCTCTCTTCTAACAGACCTCGACTATTTGAGTTTTATTAGCGATGATGCTTACGGCGTTACTGCTCCGATTGATGATGACGGTTACAACATTTATCCTCCTCTCGTGCTATTTCGCAATTTTAGAGTGTAATTTAATGCAGTTTAAGAAAATTCTCGGTCATGTGTGAGATGTGGTTTGACAGGGAGTCTACTGCTGCTAAACAGAGAGGTATTAACCTTAATAAGATGCAATATATGCATTTCATCCGTCACGTCGGCTCAGGAAATAATACTGACGTTATATATATAATATGCGCGCGTGTGTGTGCGTCGATATTGGCATTAGTTACTAAGCAAGGCTGCTTTAGACAGAACAGTGTGTGGGCCTGCGTGCGTGCGTGCGAGGCGTGTGCGTGTTCATGGGTGCGTGCGTACGTAGGTGCGTGTTCGTGCGGCGTGCGTGCGTATGTGCGTGTTCGTGCGTGCGTGCGTGCGCGTGTGTGCGTGTTCGTGCGTGCGTGCGTGCGCGTGCGTGCGTGCGTGCGTGTACTGCATAATCATCTTCAATGTAATCGCTGCTACATTGCCGACGTGCGCTGGCGCTGTCCGTAGCGGCACTAGCAGCACGGCGGGCACCGCGCGTGGGTTACTAATAACGCCACTGATGAGGTTAAATTACATTTTAATGAAAAATAAATCGGTTCTGTTCGGAGGCAGTGTTGCGTAATTACTACCGCGATCGGTTCGGTTCGGTTCGGTTCGGTTCGGTTCGGTTCGGCCCGTGGCGGTAATATATTGCCTCCTGTAAGTAGACTGCCTTCTATAGTGATAATAGCCTGGCTGGGATGAGCTGGAATTGGCTTTTATCTCTGCTCGTCATGAATATGAATGGAGTTATTTGCGCACTTGTATTATATGCGACGCTCGGCCACGCCCCCCTCCCACCCTCGCGCGCACAGAGAACCGCCCACCTACTTAACACGCACCCACACACGCACGCACGAACGCACCGTGGCAACAGTTCAGCCACGCACATACACGCATGTACACACGCGCACTTACACCAAGACACCCGCCCACCCACTTAACACACGCACACGCATGCACGCACGCACGCACGCACGCACACATACATACACACACACGCGCGCGCGCACACACATATACACGCACGCACGCACGTACGCACGCACGCACGC